CCCCCAGCTTCTTTTCTTGTTACAGAGACACCCATGGGGTCCATAAAAGAAAGAGTTAGAGCGTTACAGATTAAAAGTGAAGAGGATGAGACACAAAAAGTTGAACAGAAAGAAATGCAAAGATCTGCTGTGGAACATCCAGTTTCTCACCTTCCTACTGTGACTCCCATAGGATCTATAGAAGAAAAATTAGAAGCTGTACAGTCCAAAAGTGGACAGGACAAGATTCAAAAATCAGTTGTTGAACCTCCAACTTCACCTCTAGTTATTGAAACACCTGTGGGGTCTATAAAAGAAAGAGTTAGAGCTTTGCAGTCCAAATTTGAGCAGGAGGAGACACAAAAAGTTGAACAGAAAGAAATGCGAAAATCAATTGTGGAAACTTCTGTTTTTCCTCAAAGTACTGAGACATCCATAGGGTCTATCAAGGAAAGTGTTACTGATTTACAGACCCAAGAAGATAAGAATGAGAGACAGAACTTTGAACAAGAGATCCAAAAATCAGTCCTGGAGCCTCCAGTTTCACCTCTTGTCATTGAGACACCTATAGGATCTATAAAGAGCAGAGTTAAAAGTTTACAGACCAAAGTTGAGCAAGAAGAATTGCAAAACCATACTAAAGGTCTAACAAATGAGACGCAATCTTCTATAATCACAGAAAGGATAGAGGAAGTCATGCCAGAACTTCCAAGTGTCCCCAAGTCCCCTAAATCCCCAAGATCTCAGACAGAAAGATTAGAGGAGACTATGTCCGTGACTGAGCTGATGAAGGCATTCCAAACAGGGCAGGACCCATCAAAATGTAAATCTGGGCTTTTTGAACACAAAGCACCACCTCCTTCTCATGTTGAAACCATGGTAACTGACTCACTAGGTTCTGAAATGACCCAAGAGACTGAACAGAGTTCTACACATGAGCCAGAATCAAAGATCCAAACAAAAAGCTCCATAATTTTCCATCAGCAGTGTGGCGTTAAAGATTTTGGCAAAACAAGCTTTAGTGAAAGAAATTATGCTGAAGAAAAACAATCAATTTCAGAAAGACCTCCCACTGGAAAGACAGTCAAGTTTTCAGACACAGTTCAGTATGATATTATAAATTATAACACTGACGATGAGTTTAAAGAGATTGAGTTGCCAGAAAAGAAGGCTGTGTCTGTTAAAGAGCGAATGAAATTGTTCCAAGCTGGGCAGGACATTCAAGAAATTGTGCCGCAAAAAGCCATCGCCCCATGTATTTCCTCACTGATTTCTGAATCCAAGTCTCCTGAAGAAATGAAGACACCTGAACAAATTTCTCCACAAGAGCTAAAATCACAAGATGGAGCTCAGAGCCTCACAATTCTGACTTCAAGAGAAGATTTAATCATTCATGACCACACAAACTTAGACGATCAAAAAGCACATTTTGCCAAAACAGATTTTGATGGATCTCTGACCATTTATGATGGTTCCTCTGTGGAAAAGAAAATTTTGTCCACTGATACAAATCAAGGGGATCCTGTACCTGATAGCTTTGGACGAGGGGAGCCAGAGAAATCCTCTTTGTCTGTCGAGGACCTCATGAAAACATTCCAGACTGCACAGGGCTCTTGGAAAACTCAAACTGAACTGCTTGAATCTGTTGGCCCTGGAGAAATCCAGAGATCTAAGCACCTTGTGGTTACAAAGGCCCAAAT